GCCAGGAGATCCATAGCACAGGGTATCCTAGTTTGGACTCGTCTCCCATGCTCTTTGTTTTGTGGAAAAAATATGTTTGAAAAAGATAAACTGCAATGTACTATTTGTGGGAAAAAATAATAAAGGACATTATTATTATTATCGGTAATGTGGACTAACAGTGCTGCTATAAAAGAGTTAATAACCCGCTAGTCGCTAAAATATTGAAATGTGTGCTGATTAAGCTAGGTGCTAAAATTTCGAAATGCGCGCTATACATTTCAAAAAAGCGCTAAATCTAGTTCCCAAAGCGCTAAAATGGCAGTACTGATTTTGCGTATATTATAAATACAATATCACGACATTTCGTTGCAAAATTTTTAATTTTGGTCGGGTTCCGTTGTATGGCTTCGCTGGATACAAATTTCTTCAGTAAGTCTCAATACGATTCATCGGCGAAAAATCTCAACACAGCAATTCAGAAAAGTTTGTAATTTGTACAACTCCATCTATTACGTCCTTTGTGTGAGAAAACATCCTTTTTAAATCTCTTTTTGTGTTTTAAGTATAAATATATTAATTATTATGGAACGTTTTTTTTACACACAAATCTTTTTATTACTATTTCTGAGATTTTGTGGCGCCATTGAAAAAATTCGAACCTACATTTCAAAATAATAATCATTACTTTCGATAGAATTAACCAATTTTAATAAAACAAAGATTAAATGTAACTCGAAGATACGCTTTATGATTTTCTTAACGATTTCTTTGAAAATAAAAGATGTTTACTTTAGACGGGATGCGTTCATATAATAACAGACAAATAGACAGACAGACAATTCTAAAAATTATAAAATGTTCTTATTTAATTATTTTCAGTTCCCATAATGATTTTAGCCACCAAAATATATATACAATGTACAGAAAGAGACACAATATGTTATCATCATTTTTATTATATGTATATATTTAAAGAGAGATGGCGGTGCTAACATCAATTCTAAAAATAAAAGAGATTAATTGCGCGATTGATACATTATATAAAACGCAAGAGAACTTATAAATCAGTGCCTGCACAGTAAGCAAAAAGTAAAGTTTGACTCCCTCCAAAACCAACGCAATTGTTAATAGCTCTTTTAAAATTTGATTTACCACATAGAGTACTCGGCGGTAAAGAATAAATTGAGTTTGTCAACACGCAGTAGGGCAGCGAGTAATATAATAAAGATTAGCAGTAAATATGAAAACTCATCTACATGAAAAAACCACATTGCAATTGCATTACATTTTCACAACACCACCATCTATCGAAGAAATGGGTTAACTATTGTGCTTCAGATTTAGTTAATAAGGTTAATATATTTTTGTATAATATATTTAATAAGTTCTTTAATACTTTTATTTACTGCGTTTTAGATATACATAATTATATCATTATTTTACATAATGATTATGATAATGATTTATGATATGATATTAGTTTAAAATGCACTTGATGACTCAAACAAAGCCACCGTTGAGCAAATTCGTACCTATACTTCCCTACCCATACTTCAGAATATTTATTATAACTTTTGATGGAATGAACTGATTTTAATGAAATAAAGACTAAATGTAACCCGAAGATACACTTTATAATTTCCATAACAATTCTTATGATATAAATTAGTACTTTATACGTGATACGTTAACAAACAAACAGACAGACAGACAGACAGACAGACAGACAGAAAATTCTAAAAATGGTAGAAATGTATTTAATTACTTATTTTTAGTACCCCTCAATCACTTTTATTACAAAAATATAAAATGTACAGACATCTGCTATTTACAGTTTTATTATATGTATAGATATAGATAAAAGGAGAACAATAATAACATTGTATGTCGATGATTTCTTTGTTTACAAATGATGAAATTATTGAACTAAGATATTTGGAAACAGCTGAAATGTCGGCAGACCTGTTCACTAAAGGTTTGGGTAATACCAAGCATTATTATTTTTTGCAGTTATTAGGAATAGAGGATGTAAAATCAATATAGTTATTTTGTTTTATTTAGATGGGGTAAAAAGTTATGGGCATCTATGTTATTTTGATAAGTGGGGGTGTTAGTATTATATCAAAATACCAGTAATGCCATCTATTGTGTTTATTATTAGAATAGAATAGAATAATTTTTATTCAATATACATTACATGTGTAATTTTTATTGGAAGTCATTTTTTACTTTACCACTGGTACGAAACAAAACCCTCTGTCCTCGGAAAAACCAGCATGAAACCCAGCGGGACTATTTTTTAAATAAATTTTACAATATAAATGATTACAAACTATTTACAAAATTTATTTTAGAAACTGCTTGGAAGCGACCACCTCATTCCCAGGGGTTATTATCAAACATGTATTCATTTATACTATAATAACCCTTTTTATACAGTTTCAGCTTAACAAAACATTTAAACTTGGTAAAAGAGAAAGCCTGTACACTTTCCGGGACCTTGTTGTAATAGCGTATATATTGCCCCAAGAATGAATTACTGACTCTGTGGAGTCGAGAAACTGGTATCACCAGCCTGTGCTTGTTCTTAGTGTTTACAGAATGTATAGCACTTTTTTTACTAAAACTACCTGTGTTTTTGTGAACATACATTAAATTTTCGTAAATATACTGAGAGGCCAAAGTTAATATATTTATTTCTTTAAATTTATCTCTAAGGGACTCTCTCGGTTTTAGATTGTAAATAGCTCTAATGGCCCTCTTCTGTAAAACAAAAAAAGTTTCTGAATCAGCCGCATTTCCCCATAGCAAAATCCCATAAGACATTATGCTATGGATATAACTGAAATAAACTAATCTAGCTATCTCGACATTAGTTAGACCTCTAATCTTTTTTACAGCATAGGCTGCAGAACTTAGTCTGCTTGCTAATTTGAATATATGGGGGCCCCACAGAAGCTTTTCGTCGAGAGTGATGCCAAGAAAAACAGTGAATACAACAGGGCTCAGTTCCTCTCCATTTAAAAACACATTGGTATTCAGATTTTTAACATTCGTTGTTGTAAATTTAACACAATTAGTTTTAACTCCGTTCAAATGTAGATTATTAACGTTAAACCAATGCACTAATTTCGATATAGCATTATTCACTTCGTCACATTTAAATGATTGACGTTTAAGTTTAAAAATCAAGGAATCCCAAGGGAAGGTAAGTCATTAATATACACCAGAAACAGGAATGGGCCCAGAATCGAGCCCTGAGGGACACCCATTAGTACAGGTGACCCGGAAGAACTTTTACCATTGATAATAACTTCTGCTATCTATTACTTAAATATGAAATAATAAGTTTAAGCGCTGTGTTCTTGACACCATAGTACTGTAGCTTTCTGATTAATGTCTCATGGTGAACACAGTCGAAGGCCTTGGAAAGGTCACAAAATATACCCAAAGCATCCTCTGAATTCTCCCATGCACAAAAAATATGTTTAATAAGCTCAACTCCAGCGTCAGTTGTCGAGCGACCCCTTGTAAAACCGAATTGATTTTTATGTAGCAATTTATTAATATTAAAGAAACTTAACATCTGATCTAAGAACTCTTGTACCATTGTATGACAATTATGTACTAGAATAAATTCACTCACTCGCTCTCTGTAAAAAGGTTGTTTTAATTTATATTTATCATCAAGTATACCATGTGCTTGTTTGTCATTCTTGTTCAATAAAAAAATTAAATGGAACGGTAATGATGCATGTCTGGACGGAAGCGTCAGTTCGCAAGACTTTAAGGGCGATATGTTATTGTTCGTTTTATGTGTGGTATAACAGTAATTAGTAACTGTTTGGACATTCATGAGTTATGAGCAATAGTTACGAAATATAATTAATTGTTATTAATTACTGCAAATCTTAAATTAAACAAATTTTACGGATTTTATGGTGTTTTGTTTTTATAGGATAGAGTTACAAACGAGCACACAGTCCACCTTTTTTTTATAGGATAAGGGTAACAAACAAGCACACAGTCCACCTGATGGTAAGTGGTTGCTGCGGCCCATAGATATCTACATCTATCCTCGTTTGCGAATCAAAATGCATATGCGTTGTCACCCGTGAGGACTAAGATGGAATGCCTCATTTCCAGTAAAAAGGGCCTCCGGCCACCTGCACTCACTAAGCAAAACGCAGAGGTAAACCTCTACGTCACGCTGGTATTCTGTGAGGTCGTGGTACCACCCCGGTTCGAGCCGGCCCATCCGTGCGACAGCAATTCTGCCGCGTGGCTCGAGCACTGTTTAAACCTTGACGTGACCCTAGATGTCTTTATCTACATTTATCCTCAATAAAGAATCAAAATGCAGATGCGTCGTCACCCGTGAGGACTAAGATGGAATGCCTCTTTTCTAGTAAAATGGGTCTCCGGTTCTCTACACTCACCATACGATACACAGCAGTGTCAAGCTGCCATTTTACGCTGGTATTCTGTGAGAGCGTGGTCCTTCTCCGGTCGAGCCGACCCATTCGTGCTATAACTACACTATTAATATAGCTGCAGCATGGCTCTACCACGTATAAATGTTTATACGTGTTTAATTTTAACTTTTCAATTACCGACGTTTCGGAAGCTTTACAGCAGCCGTGGTCACGGGGGCGACTGAGGAGTTTGTGTTCAGTTTTTGTATATTAATTTTAGGTCCAATCTATACAGAACGAGTTGATAGCAGATAGTAGCACGCATTCATTTTCTTTTTTGAAATTAGGATGTTTTTAATTTCAATAGCTTCGCGAATCTACCTTTGTTGGAGTCGGTGTTCGTTTCCGAGGATTTGTGGTTTATCAAATGTGATGTGATCGCGGGACAATCTTGAACATGTTCACGGATTGTAGGTTCCGATAAAATGTGTAAAGCACCCGAAACGTCACGAATTAAAAGTTAAAATTAAACCAGATAAAATCCGTAAAAATGAGTTTAATTTAATGTATAGTATTCGCGTAAACATATGAAATGATTATTACCTGGCATAACAGCATCGTCGACCAGCAACACGGCTCGGTCGGGCTGCGCCAGCAGCGCTCGGGCGTGCGGGCCCGGGGGCGCGCGGGCCGCGGCGCGGAGCCCCAGCAGCAGGCCGGCGCCGCCGCCCAGCAGCGCGCCCAGCCCAAACAGCGCCACGCTGCGCCGCCACACTACGCCACACAAAACATTCTCTTATCTTATCTCTGTTCCTAGCTAAACGGCATATAATCGGGAGGCGGATTTTGTTGTCGTTTAGGATATTTGTAGCCATTTTGCCTTGACATTTAGTTAAATAAGTACCCGTAGTAAAAAAATCATCATCATCATCATCATCATTACAGCCTATAAAAGCCTACTGCTGAATATAGACCACCCCATAGATTGCCACATGGCGGCATTTTGCCACAATTGCCACGCTTAGCAAGCGGGTTGACAAACGCAGTTTTTTATTGTTTTGAGTTCTCATTAAGAAGATGCCGCTACCCATTACCTGTTCAATTTCCCCTTGTCTGGATGGTAACTATGCCAAATATGTTCAGGGATTGAATTTTAATGGGCTGAAATACTAATGGTACTAGGAATAAGCAAAGAACGCGCTAATGTAATTCATGGTAGACGTAGAACCACACTGCAGCTATACTAAAATGAATCAATAAGTTTTTGGAAACGCAATGAAACTCTAAAATAAGTGTATGTAAATTGTATATATTTTGCAACGTAATCACCTTTTAAACTAATACACCTCAAATAGCGTACATCAAATTCGGTAATTCTCTTAGAAATAAAGGCTTGATCCTGGGACGCGAAAAAGGCCTAAATCATCTCTTATTTCTACTTTTTCAGGTGTGTAAAAAGGTGAAAATCACTCGGAAAAAGGTGCGGGCAATATGGCGGTTGCTGCATCAACTGAAACCCAGCTGTTCACGCCCTGAGTTGCCCCCACAAAAGCCGATTAGGCTAGGGCCCATAGTAGCCACCTCGACGGGCAACAGAGGACGGGGTCCAAATGGCCTATGGAGACTTATTAGACATATAAGGGCTGCTAAGCCAACAAAAACTTACCGATCTCTCTGAGGTAGGGTTGACCACATGGTACCAGTCAGGTGATAAGTGAGGTGTATGTAAAGTGGTGTACAAAAGTGGTTATACATGTAACCTGACGGCCCGATGTAATCGGACAGAAGATTCACAGGCGCTGCCTTTCTCCAAATGTGCGCTCCCTCCAGTCGTAGTTCACCAATTGAATACTTCGGCCTTTATTTCACTATTTCAGTTTATCAACTTTATTGTACACTATTTCAATCTATCAACTTTATTGTACATTTAATTAACTTCAAACTCAACTAAATCCCCGTTAATCGTAATCAAACACGTGACACACGGCACAACTAATGAACGGTCGATCAAAATTCAACTTCCATTTTCACTTAGCAACAAATTATAATCGAGCACACGCGGTCTACTCTCGAGTGACAAAGTTAGCGTTCCGCACGATTAGCTAAAATTCTTTCGTACGATATTAACAGGCCACACAAGCAAATTAAATATTGCAAATGCGCTTCAAAATGCAATCACTATACAAATTGACGTAAATTATTGCAAGTAATTTAACTTACAAAGGTAAGTTAATCATTCAACTCAACAAAAGGGCCTCGTTATCACTTCATACGATCCAAACAGAGAACTCAATTCGAGGCGGTCTTAAAGAGACCCAAATCTTCGATAGTAAATTAGACGCGCACAATTACTCAAATTCTAGACCATCAAAACCAACACTGGCCGCGCGCAACCGACCCAGCGGTCGCAGACAATACAAACTACTCACAACGGTCAAGATACTGATCTCGGCCCACCCGGCCGAACGCCGGGAAGCGGTATACCGCCATCCCCCCGGCAGCGCTCACGTCACCTCACACCATCGGGCGATGCGCCGAGTCAAACGCTATTGGATGCAGCTTCAAATGCCCATATTTGGGCCTAAACACAAGCAATTTGGATGGCAGCGCCGGCAACATCAGATCGATGGGCAGGGGCATTATCATGATGAAAAAGCACTCCAGCACGCAAATTTCCTCGACGTTTATACTTTAGTTCTTCACGTAGCTTTTTGATTCTTCTTCTACCTAGCGTTTATCCCGGTTGATCATCCCGCCCAGCGCGGGAGAACCCAGGGTCCGCTTTCCTACACTTCCTCCTCCACTTTGTCCGGTCTTCGGCGTCCCTCACAACTAGCCCATTGGCACGCATGTCATCCTGCACATCAAGCCAGCGTTTCTTGGGCCGTTCTCTACTCCTGGTACCAGGTAGGGTCATGTCCAGGCATTTGTTTCCCACGTAGCTTGCCGATCGTGGTAAGACGTGGCCGTACCAGCGGAGGCGACTTTCCTGCAGCTTGTCAGCAATGTCACGGACATGGAGGCTGCCGCGGATGTATGTATTCCGTACACGGTCTTTCCGCGTGACGCCACACATCCACCGCAGCATGTTCATCTCCGTGACATGCAACAACTGCCGGTGTCGCTCCAGCACCGGCCACGCCTCACTGCCGTACGTAAGGACAGGTCTTATGATGGTCTTATAGACCAGTCCCTTCAGCTTGATCGGCAATTCGGGGTCACAAATAACACCCGTCACCTCGCCCCATTTCGCCCAAGCCGCTGATATACGGGCCTTGATGTCGCAATCGATGTCCCCGGACGCATCAAGCACAGATCCGAGATACCTGAAGTTGTCCGTGCGCTCGACGGTGTCGTCGCCTATATGGAGAGACGTCAGATCTGTGCTGTTGCAGGCCATATATTCCGTCTTCGCCACGTTTAACTTCAGCACGCCGTTCTCAAGCGCCTCCATCCATGCGTGCACGCGTCTGGTGAGCCGTCCTTTGTCCCCATCTACCAGTGCGATATCATCAGCGTACATAAGCAGCCAAAGCTGCGGTAGTTTCTGTACGCTGGCTGACAGTTCGTCTAATATCACACTGAAGAGATAGGGGCTTAAGACGGAGCCCTGATGCATGCCTACGGTTATGGGGAAGGGGGTGGTATCACCAACAGCGGTCCTGACTGTTGAATCGAAGTTGCGGTACATGTCACGTACGATTTCCACGTAGGTCTCTGGTACCAACTTCGACCGCAACGCCCACCAGATCATCTCCCTAGGAACACAGTCAAAGGCCTTCTGCAGGTCTGGGAATAAAAAATGCAGAGGCATATTCTTTTCCTTGTGCTTCTCCATAAGGATCCTTAGGGCGAATATAGGGTCCATGGTACCGCGTCCTGGTTGGAAACCGTACTGGGAGTCCGACACTGTACACTCCTGTCGGATCCTCCTTCGAGAACCCGTGCATTCTGGTCTCTCGCCAAGGCTGTCCAAGGGAACTTCTGTCAGCCATTTCTTCCATCTCTGCACAGAGAGGACGACTCACTGGCCGTTCTGTTAGACTCTCTCTTTGCGTCCAACTCGATGACGGGGGGAACACACCACCGACCATCCCGCGGTGTGAATACTCCACGCCGGATGTGCGCTTTGCACAGCGCTTGATTCGCATAGCACTCTTCTCCCTGGACGTCAGCAAGTCGAGTGGGCCTGATGGAGTTCCTCCCATTGTGCTGAAGACGTGTGCTCCAGAGTTGGCACCGGTTTAACGCGGTCTTTTCCGGTACTCCTACTCCCAAAGAGTAGTCCCGAACTCATGGAAGGTAGCTTGGGTCCACCCGATCCCTAAAAAAGACGACCGCTCAGACCCGTCCAACTACAGGCCTACATTGGCTGCACTAAAAGTATCGGGAATGGAATATTTCCACTGTTCCTGTCATATTAAAATCTTTTTAATTGAAAACTCCTTGGTTTTAAAAATCGAATATTATTTATTTATTTAAAAAAAGATTCTCGGTCTTGTCACAAGGTTTTGTCAAACTTGTTTAGTCGTTGAGAAAATTGAATTGACTCGAGAAAATTCAAGAGCGATGATTTATTATGACTTTCGAAGTGGTTTAACACAAATGCAGTGTGTTGACCGGATGATTTCTACATTTGGTGATAAAGCCCCATCCAAAACCACAATTTATCACTGGTTTGCTGAATTTCAACGTGGACGTGTCAAGCTCAGTGATGATCCCCTGATTGTACCTTTAAATAAATTATGTTCTTTTTTCTTCTCATATGTATTTTTTGGTGTACAATAAAGTGTATTTTATTCATTCATCCCCGTCAAGGTCGTCCAAAAACTGCAGTCACCCTAGAAAACGTTGATGCTGTGCGTAAGCTGATTGAGGAAGATCGACATGTGACATACCGCGAAATTCAGGCAACTTTAGACATTGACATGAGTCAAATACAAATATTTGTTTTCCCGATGGATACCGCATTCGCTCTGTGAAGAGCAAAAAGCGGCTCGCGTTACTTGGTGCGTCAGAACTCTCGAAAGATTCCACGCAGGATCCTCAAATGCTGTATACAACATCGTATCAGGTGACAAATCCTGGATATATGCGTACGAACCCGAAACAAAAAACCAGTCACGAGTTTGGGTGTTCGAATGAGTTAAAGCCAACAAAAATTGTTCGTTCACGGAGTGTTGCAAAAAAAATGGTGGCCACGTTTGTCTCCAAAATCGGCCATGTTACGACTATTCCTCTTGAGGGACAAAGAACGGTTAATGCAGAATGGTATGCTAGCATTTGTTTGCCACAGGTCATTTCTGAACTCCGTAAAGAGAACTGCAACCGCCGCATCATCCTCCATCACGACAATGCGAGTTCTCACACCGCACACAGAACAAAAGAGTTTTTAGAGCAAGAAAACATAGAATTATAAGACCATCCGCCGTACAGTCCCGACCTAAGCCCTAATGATTTCTCTACTTTCCCTAAGATAAAGAATAAATTGCGTGGACAGAGATTTTCATCACCTGAAGAAGCTGTGGACGCCTACAAAACGGCCATTTTGGAGACCCCAACTTCCGAATGGAATGGTTGCTTCAATGATTGGTTCCATCGTATAGAAAATGTGTCAAATTTCGCGGAGAATACTTCGAAAAGCAATAAATACATTTTTAAATAGTAATGTTGTGTCACTTCCTTGATTCCCGAAATTTTCAGTGCCGCCCTAGTATCACCATCACCTCCTTGTTCTCCAAAATAATGGAGCCTATTATAAACTGCCAGCTCATGAGGTACCTTGAGGATTACCAACTTATTAGTGACCGCCAATACGGTTGTCACTGGGGTCGATCAGCTGGTGGTCTTCTGGTCTACCATAGATGGGCGGAGGCAATAGAGTCCATTGGCCGTTAGTTTAGACATAGCGAAGGTCTTCGATCGGGTCTGGCACAGAGCGCTTTTTTCGAAGCTCCCTTCCTATGGGCTCCCCGAGAAATTATGCAATTGGATCACCAGTTTCCTTGCTGATCGGAACATCAAGGTCATAGTAGACGGTGCACGCTCTGATTACAAGCCTACTAACGCTGGTGTTCTACAAGGCTGCGTGCTATCACCAACGCTGTTTCTTTTGCATACCAATGATATGTTGCAAGGTGGTAACATTCATTGCTATGCAGACGACACAGACACATCGAGTGATGTGCAGTTTCGTGGTCACTTGGAAGGGAAGGCCAAATTGGCCTCTAAAAGGCTTGGTGTGTTCAGCAGAGCGGGACAGTATTTCATACCGGCACACCGCTTGCAACTTTACAAGGCGCAGGTTCGGCCCCACATGGAATACTGTTCCCATCTCTGGGCAGGGCCTCCCCAGTGCCAGCTTCTTCCACTTGACCGCATCCAGCACAGAGCAGTTCGAATCGTCAACGACCGAGGTCTTTCCGATTGGCTTGACTCACTGGCACTGCATAGGGATGTTGCATCTCTTTGCGTATTTTATCGCATCTACCACGAGAAGTACTCAGAGGAATTGTTCGGACTAATTCCAGCCGCTTAATTTCACTATCGCACGTCGCGTCAAAACTCGCGATGCCATCCATACCATCTGGATGATTGGCGCTCCACCACTGTGCGATTTAGAAGAAGTTTTCATCCTCGCACAACTCGATTACCACCAGCGATTTTTCCGGACCGATACTACTTAGAGACCTTCAAGAAAAGAGCCTACTCCTTTTTAAAAAGCCGTCAACGCATCTCCAATTTCCCTGGTATTGCAGTTGTTCATGGGTGGTGGTAATCACTTACCATCCGGTGAGCCGCATGCTCGTTTGCCCCCTCTCCTATAAAAAAAATACCAGCCTATAATTGCAGCTAAATGCTGCTGTATTGCATATGGTGGATGGCGAAAACCGGCTCTTTCTGGTAACGAGGCATCTCTGTAGGCCCTCAGGGGTGCCGACAGTCTACATCTTTATTAATAATAGATATAGGTGTATATGGGCCTTAGTATCGACTTTCCATCAGATGGACTGTGTGCTCGTTTGTCACCCTTATTCCATTAGTAAATGTGCATATGGAGGAATGTCAAGTGGAAAAATTTTACACCATATAGTCAACTTACTTCGATCTTTGAACAGCGTGACCAGCTCATCATACAGCAGTAACGGTGAGAGGGGCGGAGTGCCATCTTTTATACGTTGCACGGCGTCTCGCGACCATGCAGCCACTCGTTGGCGGCTTTCTATGATTAAATCATTCTGCCATAGCTCTTGGAATGCCTCACGAATCTGGAATAAAATTACTATCTTTTAAAGTGCAATGATGAATAAAAATCTTACGTGGTAGAGCCACGGTGCAGCTATGCTATGGTTGTAGCACAAATGGGTCAGCTCGACCGACCACGCTTTCACAGACAATACCAACGTAAAATAGGAGCTTAATGCTGCCTGTGTTTCGTATGGTGAGTGTACAGAACCGGAGATACTTTTCACTGCTACTTTTTACCTCAGGGGTGATAACGCATCTGCATTTTGATAATTAATCGAGGATAGATGTAGATGTCTATGGGCGACAGCATCCACTTATCATCAGGTGAACTATGTGCTTGTTTGTCACCGTTATCCTATAAAAAATACAATTTTTTCTACTAAATTCTAATATAATTATTATAGATTTTATCACACATTGACTGCCTCGTTGGTGATGTGGTCGTAAGAGTGACTGCAGATCATATGATCTCGCTTTCGGATCCCTAGTCAACTCATAATCAGTTATAGCCTTTTGCAGTTTTCATTTTCAGTAGCAGCCCGAAGTAAAAAATTTGGATGTGTTGCACTCCCAGACCTCGGAATGCACGTTAAGGCGATACGACCGGAGAGAGATTCATGATCTCTCTCTGGTCGTATCGAACAGCCGCTCCATCAGACTATTAGTGCGAGAGAATAGAGAGTGCACCTGTACTTATGCACACACTAGTGCTCTATAGTACTGTCCAGGGTAGATAGCTGGACGGTATAGCCGGGTGTAGTGAAATATAACGGTAGGCGCAAAATTATATAAAAATTTGTAAATAAATTAAGTTTATTCTCAATAAAATTAATCAAAATTACTAAATATCTATATTAGGAAAACTTAGTGTATGTTCATTTTTTTTTTTTTGTATAATAATTCTATATTCGTTTTTATGCGGGTAATGTTTCCTAAAATGACAGAAAAAACCTCAACCAGCTATTTGAATTAACAACAGAGTTGTGCCAAGTATCAACAAGATCGTCATTTTCAAATATTAATTATATAAATGATTATTGTTTGAAGGGTTTTGGCCTGTGTAAATGTGTCTCCTCCACTATTTTCAACCAAGTTGTTTGTTATGCAACACGTAATGGCTTTGGCACAGATTGACCAAGGAACCTTGGCAATTCTTGCCAAAAGTCTTGCCAAAATGTCTCTATAAATCAGATAAACTTATTCAAAAGAAAACTTCCGGATAGCCTCATAGGGGAGATATACAGGAGAGAGTCATAGTTGCCACGTTTGTCAAGCACGATCAACTGTAGTTTTTTAATTTTTTGTTGTTATTAGGAAGACGCTGCTGCCCATCTCCTGATTTGTTCCCCTCTGCCATGTCTTACGACACCCACAGAACGAAATAGGGTAGTGGATATTCATACACTATCTCTACACAGGCTCACCACTACCAAATATTGACGGAAATTGTGTTATTTGGTATGTTTAGATGGAAAATTGTGAAAGTAGTGATAAGTAACCTTTTATGACATCCTAGGCAGGTAAAACAGGTAATAAGTGGTGGAGACATGCTGCAGCTATATTATAGTTGTAGCGTGTACGGATCGGCTCGACCAGGGTAGGACCACACTCTCACAGAATAGCAGCGTGAAAAAGCAGCTTAATGATGCTGTGTTTCGTATGGTGAGTGTTATATCATAGATTATCATAAATAGTTATGAAGGTGGGGTTCACCCACCTTTGCCAACCTTGTACCCTTAATAACTTGCATAACATTGTTAAGAAATAATGTTAGTTAAGTCAACCAGTTTGTCATTAGTTTTGCTACCGAGCACAATACACATATTTACTTTACAATCTAATAGTGAGTGTAAAGTGCCGGAGATGCTTTTTACTGGAAACGAGGCATTCCATCTCAGTCCTCAGAGATGACAATGTGCCTGCATTTTGATTCTTTATCAAGGGTAGGTGCAGATGTCCATGGGCCACAGCAACCACTTTTCATGGGGTAGACCGTGTGCTTGTTTGTCAACCGTATTCTATAAAAAAAATCTTAACCATGTGGTAGGAGTCTTTTTCTGTGTAGGAGTCTATTTAAGTAGGCCCCACCCTTTAATTTCGTTCTGCTATAACAGTGCTAGCAGTGTTGTGTTCTGGTCTGAAGCTTATAAAGAAGCAGTATAACTTTAGGTGAATATTGCCAACTTAATTCTCAAAGGAGGACAATGTATCTGCAATCTTCTTTGTGTGAAGTTGGCTGCAGGTGTCCATGGACCAGTAGCTCACCATCAGGTGGACTGTAAGTTCATTTGTCACTTCAGTATTGTAAAAAAATCTTATATGCCCCACATAAGCATATTAAGACCCATAAGTCCCAGACTAACATGGACTAATAAGACATAAATAACAATAACTATTAAAAAAAATACCTTTCTAATGAGTTCACTTGTTTGTGATGCTACTTCCTGGACTCTTGTTCTACTCCCATCCGCTGCTGCTATAGCTGCTGACTGAAATATTAGTATTTTATTTAATTCAAAATTATAAGGATCCTACAAAAAAAAACAATAATTTCTTATATTTATTCAAATCCTACATATTTCATCCACAAAGTCAGTTGCTAGTGTCTTCACTGCAGTTTATTTTACCTTACTTTAAATTATTGATTTCTTATATTTCGATTTTATGATTTTTAATTCTCCAGTAACCCAGGTTAACTATGACATCAAGACGTCAAACATCACAGTCTCTCAGACAAGTCCCTCAGACCATTAAAACATGTAATGCACTTGATATTTCAGGAATTAGAAATAATTCAAAATAAACACAACAAAATCTGTAAAATTAATTATATTCAATACCGTTAAATTTCTGACATTTGGATGCTACTACACATAGGGTCATAGAAGGTGTAGGTGTTTACTTATTAGGTCTGTCATATCTTTATTCTTATAAAAATACACAATCACTTTACATGACAATAGTTTACAAGCAAATCTTTGGACAGAAGGTAAATATCACAATAAAATTTTTGTCAAATGTTTTGATGGTAGTATAGACTTATTTGTTTGTTCCTTTCTGAACATACACCTCACCCAAAAGAGTTCCTCTTAGAGGAAATTTTGCCATAGTTGCCATGCTTGACAAGCAGGTTGACAACTGTAGTTTTTTTTAATATTTTGAGTTGTTATCAGGAAGATGCTGCTGCCCATCTTCCATTTCAGTTTCTCTCTGTTGCCTCTACCGACACCCACAGGATAATGTAGAGTAGTGGATATTCTTACACGAACACTACACAATCTGTTTGTTCAATAATCAACTATACAAATAAACGTGTTACAGATATCAATTATGACTGGAAGTGACTCATATTACTACCGTGTGTGCAGTGTGTTTTGTTTGAGTAGTTTTATCCAACAAAAGGAGAGTAATGTTTTTCGAGTGTCTATATGCATGTATGTACGTATGTCTATTTCTTTGAGCCACCTGCATCCAGTGACTTTCTGCATCTATTACCAGGTAATCACTTCATCTAGTCGGAGTTCATCCTATACTTCACTTACTAATATGAGGCTACCACTTAAGAACCATTCTTTCTCATCTGTTGTTGTTTATTTGAGCAGCTTCTTTCTCACTTTTTAGCCTACTGATCTTTTGGCCTATCTCAGGTTTTCTGGATCTACTGTAGATGATATCTTCATTTCAAATTCTATCTCATACAGAAACTCTAAGCATAGCCCTCCCCATAGCTTGCTGACTGACCTTGAGCTATCTCATGTTATAAAAGTGTTTAAGTTTCAAGATTTAAAAAAGTGACCATTAGTAGATATTCATTCAAAAGATGAATCCATATGTAGCAGATTGGTTATAGGCAGCATCATTATCTGTGTGAGGGTATCCATTATTCACTCGGCATGGTCACTAAGAGCAAACCTTTCAAGTTAAGTATGTGAATGTTGCAAAGAGCAATGTAAGTTAACAACTCCATAATCTAAATATATCATAAATAAAATGATACAGGTTTGCAGTTGTGCACACATAACGGAAAAACTACTGAATAGATTTCAATTAGGTTTTGTAAGTTTTCTTTCTTACACTTTTTTAAACATAAAATTATTGTGAAATCTTCATTTTATATAAAGTTATTACAGTTTCAAGAAATAACGATTTTTATAAGCACAATGTGTTCAGTGATGTGTGTTTTCTTGCCGTGGAGAAGTGGAGCAAGCAGTGTAGAATGCATGCGTAGGAGAGGGGAAGACTGCTTTTCGTCTGCCTCATGATAAAGTTAGGGCCTGCTGTGCATAATTTATGCAAGATACCTGATGCTGTTCAGTTGTACCTTAATCAATTGCCCACCATAGTTTTCTATAGTTTTCTCAGTAATTTTTCACCATTAAATAACTAATTTTCATATAATTCATTTTCATTCATTTATATATTTATTATCATTGTTTATGCGGACGAAGTTGCAGGTATCAGCTAATAACAAATAAGATGATTAAAGTTTTCGGTAAAACTTCTTTTTTATAAAGATTTACCATAAAGTTTGGTTATATAAGTTTCATGGTCACTTCCCTCTCAAACTAGGGCAATGACATTGAGATGTCAACAAAACAAATGATATACATTCTACTCACCTTATCATGTGAAAAATGTATCTAGAATGTGTTACTATCAATTCAATATTTTACTGTGATTATTATGTCTTTTGATATGACAAACCTAAGAAAATCTCTACTTACGTGAATCGCCTCAAGCTTCTCGCCAGCCCGTAGCTTAAATTCGTCCATATCAGCTGCGGCGTTAGACGAGAACGTCTTGTTCCATATGGTCAACTATCTCATGCTCAAAACCTTAACCTTTGTACAGCACCCGGCCAAAACTGCACTCTTAAAATAGATTATCATTGCAATCGTTAACACACTCTGTGAGACATATTTTGCTATAAGAATATGTATTTGTGTTTGGTCAAAGTAGATTTTACGTTATTTTTTATTTTAGTTATAATCTTGTAATATTTTGCTCCACAATTACTTATTTTTATTTGAAACATAAACCTCGATTGATAGTTACAATGACAATGACAGATGACACTGACAGTGGACCAGCTGCTTGTGACTTTGTGTTCGTTTCGTTACACGCTTCAATTTGGTTTTTATACATCACAAAAAGTAATTATCGATGGAAAGTAAAATGCTCCGTCCGTCCGTGCTCCGATCCGCGACTTTAAAACTTCGTAAAATAAACGGTTATTTAATATATGTGGTATGTTGATTATTCGCATCCCCACAAAAATAATTCCACTATCCTTCTAAAAATATTATAATCCTAAGGATAACGATATCTTATGCATTGCTACGCAGAAACGCAAGGAATCAGGGTATGCATCGTTTATAAATATAGAATATACTGGCCATAGAATTATTACGTAAATAATTCTATGATACTGGCGTATCTAAGTGTATGTTTTTAACGGTGGTAGAGCCCATAGGTTGCATGTATGGGCCGGCTCGAGCCGGGTTGGTACCACGACCTCACAGAATACCGGCGTGAAGTAGAAGCTTTGCTTCTGCGTTTCGTCTGGTGAGTGCAGGTGGCCGGAGGCCCAATTCCCCCCCCCCCCCCCCCCCCCATCAACATGGTAGCGGAATTACACGAAGAACTACCCCAGGAGGGTACCAGCACCCCTGGAGAATCCCTCGCTGAGCATCCACGACTATGTTATTCCGATCCTGAGCGTGGGTGCTCAGGCTGCCCCGCGTATTCTGAGGGGGGCAAAATTCCGCTCAAAAGTATTACTGCTAGGGGCAAACTGAGCAAGAACACCAAGGCAACCCCTGCCACGCTATCCGTGAATTTCTGCAACATCAGGGGACTTCACTCTAACCTAAACGCCGTCCACTACCATCTCGAGACGGCGAAACCGGCCTTGCTCTTTCTGACCGAGACGCAGGTTTCCTCTCCGGCTGATATTTCGTATCTCTCCTACCCGGGGTACAAATTGGAGCATTCCTTTGTGCCTCGGGCTGGAGTTTGCGTGTATGTCAGAGAGGACATCTGTTCTCGACGCCTCGGCAGTCTTGAAGGTTCGGACCTGTCCATCCTTTGGCTACGCGTAGACAGCGACGATCATCCGCGCGTCTACGGGTGCCTCTATAGGTCCCATAGCGGTAATGCCGAAACAGACCGACTCATCGACCACGTCCAAATGGCTACAGATTTCTTGCTACAACAGGTCCCTTCCGCAGAGATCGTGATCCTTGGCGATTTTAACGCCCACCATGCCGAATGGCTCGGTTCACGTCTAACCGATCATGCGGGGAGATCTGTTTATGACTTTGCCTTGGCATATGGTCTGACACAACTGGTTACTTCGCCTACGCGGATTCCAGATGTGGAGGATCATACACCTTCCCTGTTGGACCTTCTGCTGACCTCTCATCCGGACGGATATCAGGTTTCCGTCGATGCCCCTCTCGGCTCTTCGGACCATTGTCTGATCCGGAGTGTGGTGCCACTCACGCTCCCTTCGCGGTTGCGTTCTGTAGGTTGCCGCCGTGTTTGGCATTACAGGTCGGCGGATTGGGACGGAATGTGGTCCTTCTTTGCATCCTACCCATGGGGGCGGGTTTGCTTCTCGCCGGATGATCCCAGCGCTGTTGCCGACTCTGTCACTGATGTGGTGCTACAGGGAATGGAACTATTTATTCCATCATCTGTGGTACCCATCGGAGGCAGATCTCAGCCTTGGTTTGGTCGCTCCTGTAAGACTGCATTACGCAGTAAGCAGGAGTGATATCAAGCCTGTGCTGCGGCTTCGGCGACTCGGGATGTAAATACCAGCACACTTAAAAAGAAGTATAACTTCGCCTCCAGGTCCTTCAAAAGAGTTATTGCCAAGGCAAAGTCAGAGCACATAGGCAGAATTGGCGAGAAACTAGTTCGCCTTCCTTCGGAAACCCGTGCATTCTGGTCTCTCGCCAAGGCTGTCCAAGGGAATTTCTGTAAGCCATCACTACCATCTCTGCACAGGGGAGGATGACACACTGGCCCATGACGCAAAAGACAAAGCCGACCTTTTAGGCTCCCTTTTTGCGTCCAACTCGACTCTTGATGACGGGGGGAAAACACCGCCGACCATCCCGCGGTGTAAGTGCTCCATGCAGGATGTGCTGTTCTCACAGCGCTCGGTTCGCAAAGCACTGCTCTCCCTGGACATCCAGAAGTCGAGTGGGCCTGACGGAATCCCCCCAATTGTGCTGAGGACGTGTGCTCCGGAGTTGGCACCGGTCCTAACGCGTCTTTTCCGGTACTCCTACTCCCAAGGCGTAGTCCCGAATTCATGGAAGAGCTTTTGTCCACCCGATCCCTAAAAAAGGCGACCGCTCAAACCCATCCAACTATAGGCCTATCGCGATCACCTCCTTGTTCTCCAAAATAATGGAATCCATTATTAACTGCCAGCTCATCCGGTACCTTGAGGATCACCAGCTGATTAGTGACCGCCAATACGGTTTTCGTCGGGGTCGATCAGCTGGTGATCTTCTGGTCTACCTGACCCATAGATGGGCGGAGGCAGTAGAGTCCAAGGGGGAGGCGTTGGCCGTTAGTCTGGACATTGCGAAGGCCTTCGATCGGGTTTGGCACAAAGCGCTTCTTTCGAAGCTCCCTTCCTATGGGCTTCCCGAGAAATTGTGCAATTGGATCACCAGCTTCCTTGCAGATCGGAGCATCAAGGTCGTTGTAGACGGTGTATGCTCCGACTACAAGCCTATTAACGCTGGTGTTCCACAAGGCTGTGTGCTATCACCAACACTGTTTCTTCTGCATATCAATGATATGTTGCTAACTGGTAACATTCATTGCTATGCGGATGACAGCACTGGTGATGCTCTATACACCAGCCGTGCCAATATTTCTCGGGAAAACGTCGCTGAGTACCGGAACAAACTTGTGTCTGAAGTCGAGTCTTTGCTGAACAAAGTCTCGGATTGGGGGCGACTAAATCTAGTCCAATTTAATCCTCAGAAGACACAAGTTTGCGCGTTTACCGCTAAAAAGAACCCCTTTGTCGTATCTCCTCAGTTTCAAGGCACTCCCCTTCTTGCCTCAGCCAGTATCGGTATCCTCGGAGTCGACATATCGAGTGACGTGCAGTTTCGTGGTCACTTGGATGGGAAGGCCAAATTGGCCTCTAAAAAGCTTGGCGTGCTCAGCAGCGCGGGACAGTATTTCATGCCGGCACACCGCCTGCTACTTTACAAGGCGCAAGTTCGGCCTCACATGGAATACTGTTCCCATCTCTGGGCAGGGGCTCCCCAGTGCCAGCTCCTTCCACTTGACCGCATCCAACGCAGAGCGGCTCGAATTGTCGACGACCGAGCCCTTTCCGATCGGCTCGATTCATTGGCACTGCGAAGAGATGTTGCATCCCTTTGCATTTTCTTTCGCATCTACCATGGGGAGTGCTCTGAGGAATTGTTCGGATTAATCCCAGCCGCCAAATTTCACGAACGCACATCGCGGCAGAACTCCCGATACCATCCACACCATCTGGATGATTGGCGGTCCACCACTGTGCGATTTAGAAGATGTTTTCTTCCTCGCACGACCTCCTTGTGGAATCGATTACCATCAGCGATTTTTCCGGACCGATACGACTTAGGGACCTTCAAGAAAAGAGCGTACTCCTTTTTAAAAGGCCGGCAACGCATCTGCGATTCCCCTGGTGTTGCGGTTGTTCATGGGCGGCGGTAGTCACTTACCATCAGGTGAGCCGCATGCTCGTTTGCCCCCTCTCCTATAAAAAAAAATGTTTACAAGTAAGTCCACAGATAAGAGTTTATATGACAGCGTAAAATTTTTTTTGGAAATTCGTTAGCAATAAATCAGGTCACTCAGCATATTATGTATGTTAGTGCGTTGCGCGTTGCGGCGCGACGCTGCATGTTACTTTAACAGAAACAGAAACAGAAACTTTTTTATTCAATATAGATTATAAATAATACTTACTGAAAGTCACTCTTTTGTTTGATTACCACTGGTTCGGAAAAAACCTCTGTTCGCGCCAAACACGGGTATTAGTGTTCTGTGCCAAACACTTTCAAGGAACGAACGCGAGAGGGCGGCTCAGTGTCATACCGGTTTGACATTCGGTCGTGCGTAAAACGCCCAAGGGCAGTCGTCCATAAGCGGTGCTAACGATTGGCACGCTGTATTCTGTTAGGGAACTCGGAATAATTCGGCGCGGCCAGTAAATATACGGTCTATCATTGTGACGCGCATTCCTGCTGGAGAGCTTCCCAGGGACTCATTGTGTTTGACTCAGAATCGGCATAAGTGCATTAGGCAATATTAGCTAGTGCGGCCTCACGATATTCTAGAACTAACTGTTGCGACGCGAAACGGTAGTGACCTTTAATAAACTGTAAACTCCGTGTGCGTTTTGTGTGTTAACCTTATAACCAGCGATAGTTAGTGGCTTCTGTAAGTTAGTAAATCGTACGATAGAGTTAATTGACTGTCAACGTGACGAAAGAAGAAAGTGACTGTGGACAACCTCGAAAGGCCCCCTCAAGTTGGAGCGGTGTCGACGCTCGGGCTGCTGCCGACGGCCAAGGTCTAGGTTCAATCACCATCAGTCACACCCAGATACACACCACATCACCATTCTTTCCCTTGCACTACACAACCACATGCGACCTGACCGACTCCGGAGGGACCAGTCGCCTTGGATATAGGTGAGTAAGCTTCGTCCAAATTCCTTCCGGTCGGCTGGCCGTAGTGTAAC